CAAACCGTGAATTTTGTGTATCGTTGCACCCCTACTGGTTACCTAATTCAAGTTTCATGATTTTCAAACTAAATGGAATCATGTGAGGCTGACAGTAAAAACACACCCAACAATCTAAAATACCCTTAATTAGACGCACTTAAGGTCTTAGTAACTCTAAGATATCCGAATATGTCAATATTAGTTAAAAATGTCACCAAGTCTTCACAATCTCAGGCAATATTTATATTTGTATTTATTTTTTACTTAACTAAAAAAAAGATCTTGGAAAAACAAAGGATTTTGTTTGACGTTGGACTTCAGCAAAAGGAAGAATGAGGAAAAAGACAAAACAAGTTGTGCCTCTGAGCGGCGCAGCAGCCATATGGAGGCCCTCGTCAGCCCAGTCAGTAACTCCAGATGTTTGACCCAAGAACAGGAAGCATGAGCCAACTGTCAGGCTTGAAGAGCAGGGCCGCAAGGTAGCTCGCAGCACCTCCCTCCCATATGTCACGGAGGACCTTTGCCTTCAGGCCAGCTCGAACAAGACAAATGTCTGTCTGTATTCTAGAAAATCTTCCACTCTGACCGTTTCCTGGCACTCGGTTCTAATAAAATCTTCTTGTCATCTGTTGTGCTGAAGAAAATGCTTCAGGTCTCTCTGTGGACTATGTGAAAATGATCACTCAGCTGGACGATATGAGAGGAACACAATGAGCATGTGCTGCCTCCAAGGTTCACCAAAAGTCTCACAACAGATGACAAAAAGGATCATCTGTATCCTGATGCTTCTGTTACTTAATTTCAGGGAATGAAAGTGTATTTTTTTTTTTACATCTGATAGCTTGACATGTAAACGTTTTTTTTAAATAAAGTTTATAAAAATCTATATGAACAAACTGCTCTGCTAACTGAAATGACGAAGCGGGAACTAGAAAAAGTAATTTAGGTGTGAGTGTATTTTTGTTATTTTACCAAAACGCTACAGTGAGAGAATTCAGGAAAAACTCGTTTTTCTCCTCTGCTCACATTCAAAGTCTTGAACGATCAGAGCGCCTTCCTAAATCCGGCTCCCACAGATGTTGATCGTCTTGTTAATAGCCGTACATCCTTACTGTGTACGACTCTGAACACTGTGGCTGCTCTGAAATCAGAAGTACGTGACACCATGGTCTCACTCTCAAATACTCACTTTAAAGCAGATTACTCATAAGATGGAGAGGAAATGGTGTCTTACTAATTTAGAAGATCTTCATTTTGCTTTTTGACAGAGCTTATAGTTAAAGCTGGATCGAGTGACCCTGAATTCACCCTTCACGTTTCAGCGTTTCTCCTTCTCTCACCATTTGAATATAAACCATTTAATTATGAGTTATTATTAATCTCTGTCTCTCTTCCACAGTGTGTCTTTGGTCCTCTCTCCCTCCCCTCAGCTTCAACCAGCGCAGCAGATGGCCCCGCCCCTCCCTGAGCCTGGTCCTATCAGGGGTTTCTTCCTGTTAAAAGGAAGTTTTTCCTTCCCACTGTTCGTGGAGGGCCCCTAGCTGCTTACCCTAACCAGTCTCTGTATTACTATAGGGTCTTTACGTTGCAATATTAAGCACCTTGAGGTGACTGTTGTTGTGACTTGGTGCTGTATAATCTTAAAAACCTCATATTCATATTATCCCAGTGAAGCACTTCACTCTCAGCCTGCAGGCTTATTTGGGAGACAGAGCTTCAGCTATCAGACTCCCTTCCTGTGGATCCAGGTCCCAGTTTGAGTTCAGGAGACAAACACCCTTTTCACTTTTAAGATCATACTTAAAATTTTCCTTTTTGATAATAAAGGAAAATTAGGGCTGAATCAGGTCATCTTGAACGATCTCTTAGATATGTCACTACAGGCTCAGCTCGATGGAGGACTTCCCATCATGTGTTGAGTATTTCTTTTCTACTGTATTGCATAACATTACATTTCATCCTTTGTCTTCCATAGTTTGAGTTCTGTTGTTATCTCTGTGCGCTCGTTTCACCCTGACACGTTCCATAAAGCTGCTGTTTCCTACGCCTGCTCCTGCTGCGATCATTTCTTCTTAAAAAGGAGTTCTTCCTTCCTACTATTGCAAATTAGGGGATGTACTAAAATCATATTCAGTCACTGATAGATGCACTACATTAATTTAATAATTTAGCATTTTTACAGCTTTTGTCTTTACTTGAATATTGATTGAAGTCAAAGCAGTAAAGGCCTTGTGAAGGAAAATGTTAACAAAAATTAAAATGTGCTTGTAAAAAACAGTGTTTTCAGTATTTTTATGAGTCTGATGATGATCAACGATTAATGTTTTCTGCATCTGTTGGAGGCGTCACTCCAAAAATAACCAGTGTGTGTCCTCACAGTGTCTGCTGTTGCGTCATACTCACCTTTTGAAGAGTAAAATAGCGATGACTATAATGATAATCAGAATGACTGCCAGCACCGGACCCATCACCCACAGCATCTCTGGGTCTTCTTGTGGTTGTCGAATAACCCCACTGATCTTCACCGTGAAGGGATCAGAGAAAGGGCTGGCTGCGAATGTCCTCTGCTGCAAACGAGACGGATTCAGTCAGTTCACACACACACACACACACTGTGTCTCAGTGGAGATCTCATTGGCATAACGCTTTCCCTAGCTGCTCACCCTAACCATCAAAACGAGTGCCAAACCTGACCCTGACACTAAAACCACATTTTCAGCCTCAAAAATGTCTTCAAACTCATGAGGACAGGGACAATCCAGCGGTCCCAACCCCTGGTCCACGGACTGGCACCGGTCCGTGAGTCGTTTGGTACCGAGTTGAGGCTCGGGCGTGAAATTTATGGTTTTCAGGGGTTTTAATCAGTTTTTATCATTATTTTTATATCGTTTGAATAAATCTTCTTTTTTTGGTACTGGTTTTATTTTGTTGTATTTATCTCCGACACCTTAAAGGCCTGTCCATGAAAATATTGTCGGACATAAACCGTAGCGCCAAAAAGGTTGGGGACCGCTGCAACAAGTGACTGTTGGTCTCAATGTTCTGTCCTCACAAAGATGTCTAAACATCATTTTATTCATTTTATTTCAAATATTTTTGCTCATTTTAAACATGTTTTGAGAAAAGTTGGGAGACGGGCAACAAAAGGCTGGAAAAGTAAACAGCTGGAGGAATATTTTGGTAAACAGTGAGTAACATGAGTGGGCTTAAAAGGAGCATCTTAGAAAGAGTTTCGAAGAAGTAAACACGGTGAAAAAATCCCTACAAAAACAAAAACCTGAAACAACAGCATGACTTCATACTACAGGAGTCCGGTGTTGAACGAGCTTAAGTGCAGTCCGGACCTTTCTGGCGCGTCATGGACCGGAGCATCTACAGTCCTATATCAGACAAGAAGGGGACGTCATTCCTCTTCCTGTTTTCTGTGTTTCACCATGAGTAAAATCCGGATTTATGAGGTTTGCAAATCATTGCATTTTGTTCTTGTTTCACGCAGCTCCCCAAGTTTTGGGGATTTCAGGTATTCACACCACAGCGCCCCTTTTCAATGTAACAAAGGTTTCATCTAGTTTTTACGATACAATATCAGGAGATAGTCTGGGTCAAGACAAAAACACTTAGATAAAGATTCATTTTATTCTTAGATGTGAGCGTTTTACTGTTTTCTTATTTGTTGAAATTAAATGGAAATAAATTCTGGCTAGTTTATGTCTCTGTCTTG